GGAATAGAACCCAGGAGTCCTGACTCCAGGACCCCTGCTCTGATCGGGGGATTCAGCTGACAATGCTGCCATTTGCACAGCTTATGGCACTGGGTTCAATCCAGCTGGTAGAGGTAACTGGCTGTCAGTTAACTTGAGTCCCAGGGGCACGTTTACACACACGTGAAGCCCGGCTCAAAGCGGGCAGCTCTGCGTAGTTTATAAATCCCGGTGTCCAACCAATTAAGGAAAAAGACTCAGTTGGGAGAGTGGAAGATCCGGGGACTCAGAGACATCCAAGGTGCCAAGCTGGTGTCATCAGCGCTGGGTTAGTCACAGCCAAGGGGAGCAACCAGGCTGCTGTGTCTGTGAATAAAGAGCTGCAGCAGCCTCGCGCCCCAGCTCAGCCTGTAATCAACGGGGTGCTGCTCAGCACGCCTTTTATTCCTGACCCCACGCCCCTCCCCCCAGCGTACCCCTGCGGGGAAGTGTCAATCCTGGAGCCTCCCCGACTGACTGGAGACGTTCGGCTCAGTCGCCTGCAGGGAGCAGTGACGCAGCTCTGAGCGTAACAGCCCCATCACCAAACCAGAGGCTCAGCTCCTCACCAGGGTGTGGGAATGAGCCGAGTGTCCCTGCTGGGGATCCGGGCGAATCTCCCTGAGCAGAGAGGTTGTTCTGCTTGTGCAGAGCGGGTCTATGTGTGGGGAAGGGCCGCTCTCCAGTAGTGGGGGGGGGGGGGTGGACACTTGGGGTCTGAAGCCAGCTGGGTCCGGCTTGGTGCGCACTCTTAGGATCTGTCTACACCAGGGTGAAAGTCCAGGGTTAGGAGAACTCAAGCTGGCAAACCCAACCTACGGCTTGAGCGTCTACACTCATTTGCAACCCCGGGTTAGGAATTGTTGCACTCAGGTCCCCCGGGGGCTCCAGTGTCCACCCACCCTTGTCCTGGACTTTCCTAGCCCCCTCCCAACTCCTTTGTTTGTGGTGCAGTGTGAGAAAACTTGACTGTCCACAGGACGAAGAAACCTGTCCCAGGGGATTGTGGGATACTTTTGGCAGCCTCTCAGAGCACGAGTCCAATGCAGAGCAATAGGGCTTGAACCCTGGGTCCCAGCTTGACTCAGGCTCAGACCCTCCACCTCTGTGGGGTCCTGGAGCCGAGCCTTGGGTTAGCACAATTTGTGGGTCAACGGAAGGGGGGTTAGGCCTGAGCCTGGGTTCAAACCCTGGGCTTACACTGCAGTGTGGACACACCCTTAGCCACAGACTGCTCCTGTTGACAGGTGAGACGTGATTATGGGGAAATCCCCCTTCAAAGAACTGATCGCCCCCGCGAAGCTGCCGACGTAAAGGCCTCTGAGCGCTGGGAAGGGAGTGACCCGCTGGGAGAGCTCATCCCCCTGGTTAGTCTGAGTAGCGCAGGCTGAGACTTCGGGCCAC